CAACTTCCGGAAAAAGGGTTATCGTGGTATCGACTCATATCGAGAGGGAACAATCGCTGCCTTCAGATGCGGAAGCCGGCGAGATTCGTGCGGTGTTGACAGCCGATAGATAAGATCCTCGCCTAGTGTGCCACGTGGAAAATTTATTAACGAATTTTATCTTTTGGGACTGGAAGAGTCTCTTTTCCGAGAATTCGTGCGTTTGAGCTAGGCGACTATCTTTTCTGTTTATTTAATTATAGAGTGATGGGATTATCGGCAAAATAGATTTTTCTATTTGGCGGCTCCCGCACTGAAGGCAGCGTTCTTCTTAGAACACAGGAAGTCTTAAATCAAGTATTTAGTAAAAATAATCGTCGCTAAGATCGGCTTGCTGATCGCGGAACTTTCCACGAAAGAAAAGAATCGTGGAGTCCTCAGGACGTAAGAGGACTTTTACAGGAGAATAATTATAAAATATTGTTTTTTCTTATATCATAATGAGATGCAAAAATACAAATTATAAAAATATAAAATACATGTTTTAAAAGCAATATCTTTATTGAACTTAGCATCAAGAACATATAAAATACAAAATAATTCAAATGTTTAATTTGATGGAAATACTGACCAGTCTGTAATATAAATTGTTAACATATCGGGCATGACTTCTATTCATTGCAAAACAAACAACTGCATACTGGTGTCCTTGTATGGATACAATCTTAACATTACTAACAAGAGAAACTCACGAAGTATCAAATTCTAATTTTAACGAAACTTTTATATAGACATGTAGGATACTTAAATAGATGAACTTAGAAAATAGCAGTTGCTGCCCAAAAACGGAGATTTAGGAGGTGAAACCACCTTAATTTATTAAGCGGTTTTTAATTTTTTTTTGTTATATCTCAAAAACTATTCAAAATATAAAAAAATATTTTATACAACAGTTTTACAGTAAAAATTACCTCTTTTTACTTACGTCACAATTTTAAAAAAATTTACTTAAAATTTTCAAAAATTTTTGGAAAAATAATTATTTTTAAAAACCATTTTGCCGCTACAACTGATACTTTCTAAATTTATTTCTACGTAATCCATATATATATAAAGTTAATCATCTCTACGTAATCCATGTATATAAAGTTTTATTAAAATCAGAACTTGATATTTGTTATAAAACTAATTATGCATTCACACATTTCGGTCGTAAAAAAAACTGTCATAGTT